CGGATACCAATTTGCTCTTACTTCTCCAAGTGACCAAGGTTTCCCCCTACAATGAAGTACCTATGTAGACCTTCAGCACATATATTCCTGCCAATCAGTCATCAGCATATCCTTCAACCTTTAGAAGTTCTCATTTTTGAAACCAAGATTCTTTTTCAGGCGCGCTTACCAGATAGCTGATGATCTTCATAACTGCCAAGTCATATGCTTCTCCCTGATTATGCATGAACGTACTGACGGTACTAATATGCCAATATGATATATCAGGCGCTCTGTAGTGTGCCAGATACAATAATTTCCAATCGTCTGATAGCGCCCATGTATCAACTGGACGTTGGTCTGTTTCAACTTCTACTTCACTCCTATTCCATTAGGAAGGTCGATGGTTGACAGCAAGACATCCAGTTTCATTTAGAAATCTGTAATTCCTTGAGATAGGAAGATGCCTTTTCGATAACCTAAGGCACCTCGTACCCAGAAAAATACTTCAAAGGCCGAAAGGTCTTTCATTGTTGAACTCCTGAGATTGGGCTTTTCAATGCATGCTGTTCATGAGGGTCGTTTCCTTGAGGACCATTCACTCGACATAGACGAGTAAGGCGCCTAATTTCCTAGACTCTTCTTAACAAAAACAAGAGTATGATTCAGGATTACTTTGACTGTAAGAACTTTTCGCAACGATCTCCTGAATCTCCCAAACCAGGCTCTGCGAGATTCTTTATCGCATACAAGAATTTTTAACTTGTAGATTTTGATTTGTATGCTCAACGCGATTTATATCCAGTTGGGAACTCACATATAACCCTCCTCCTCTAACTCTTCCTATGAGCGAAAGGTTTTTTACACCGAATTGGTTGTAGAGGTCAGTCCAAATTTGCAGCTAATGAGAGTAACCCCCGCCCACAATATTAATCTTTGCCACCGGGTGCGCATGTCTCCAGATAATCAATCCCGTGTGTCTGTGGTGTAGCCTTTTGTAACTAATCTCGCTTTGAATCTTTCAATGTCATTGCGTTGAATTCCAGTGTACACCCATTTGTATTCCACCTCTTCTTTCCTGCTGTAACCGGTTAATTCCACGTGTTCATTTTTTAATAATGACTTTATCTCCTCGTCATGCCTGATTTCCATTTTGATTACATACAGCTTCTTGCCAACGGTTAGATAGATACAGAGGATATGATCACAAGATTTGAGATGTAGTTAATAATCATAAGACACATAATTATCATAGGATATTTGGCTTTACCTTGTAAGTTGGTAATATATGATTTGGGTACACCTCTATTTGCTCGGTCGTGGGAAGTTGTTTCTGGGAATTAGAAGCATGATACTGGAGGACTCAGTTCAGGGATATTCGAAGTGGCACGATTGGTTATTCGAGTCAGTTTGGGCTGCCACAACTTCATCAGCAGCGTTGTGCTGTTACATTATCAAGGAACTGGTGTTATATCGTTGTCTCGGTGCCGGATGTTTGGCTTAAGTTAACGCGGAGCACTTTTATGGGCATATCTCTTTCCTCATAGCATTTCCAAATAACTGAACTGTTGTTAATGGTCCCGCTTGAGTTCAGCCAATTCAAGTACATAATTATCTTCATGAAATGTCACATCCTAGTGACAAACATTTATGTGTAGGACGCTGATACACCGGTAACCTTTTTGGATGAGGGCCATACCCGAAAAAATACACTGAGGGGCGGCGAGTTCGAGCTTGTTCCGTTGTCTTTGGTAAGTAAAAATGTAACACATCGACACACCCGCGGAGAAGATTGCACAGTAGGAGCTGCAGTATAGAGAAGGAATATTGGGAAAAGAATAGATTATTTTTCTTAATCCAATGAAAGAATACAATGGTCCTTATATAGAGAGAGGAGTGAGCTATACAAGGAAGTAATACTAATATACCATGATTCCAGGAATCATAACTATACCATATATATCTATACCATATATTCTAATACCATATGTTCTAATAGAGGTCCCTCATCTCCTTTGGTGGGCGATATCTTGTTAGGATTAGAGAGCCACAAAATAAACACGTTAGAGGACATGAGTTTGGTTCTCCTGTAGTTCCTCCGACGATCAAGTCAATATAAAGCTTGGGTGGGGAGTCGGTGAAATAAGTGTGCTGAGATTGTGTTAATTAGCCAAAAAGGGCTTACATGTGGCCCTGAAGGGGCTCTGAAGGGGCTCTCCAGGTTATTAGACGATGAGCCTATATATACCCAGCTGAGAGCGGTAAAGGCATAATTTTGGCCGAGCCCATGCAGACAGCTGAATCGGCAAATAGCCTATAGGTATCGGCTGCAGGTGGGATGAATCATCACTAAGTTTGACATGATGGTGATTGAGAGGACGTGGTGCTGACGGTAGGTAACGAGTCATGGAGATTCATGGCATGAGATGTGATGATGATGGCCAACTATTGGTGAGGAGTTCGAGGACAAAAAGCATCTCGATTCGGCTCTGTAAGTGGGACGATATGTACTGTCTTTTTTTGTCGGCCTCGCAGGTTATCGATCCCGCCTCGCGTGCGTTATGTGAGTGGGGTTGGGCCAAATGATGAGGTCGAGTGAGAGTTTGTCTTGATTCGACCTTACTCGTGAAGGGACGAGTGTCCGTGATATCCGAGTCATCTTGGCTAGCACATGCTGATCTAATGATTAGTGCTGACACGAGACACGTGTGGACTCGAAAGAGAGGATTAGCACTTTGGTGAATTATTGACATAGCATTATGAAATTTAAATAAAAATAAAAAAAAAACTGTCCTCAAATGGGCATTGGGCCCGGTTCAATCTCCATCCCCAACTCCCTCAAAACACGCGCCCCTCTCTCCAACCCCCAAATCAAGACCCAGCACGATGAACAGCCACCTCCTCCTCCTCCCCTCCAACCCTCTCCTCCCTAACCCTGACCCGCTCCCCCTCCTCCGGCTTGCTTCTGTCCGCCCACCCCAGTGGGCCCACCCCGGCCCCGCCGCCCTCCCGTCCATCCGCATGGGCGGCCGGGCCCCGCACCTACCGCGGGCGGCGTCTCCAAGTGGCAGGAAGCGCATGCAGGCCAAGAAGTCCAAGCAGCTCACCTCAAAGCCCGCCTCCTCCGGCGAGGCGCCATGGGGTCTACGAGACCCGCAAGCGCGCGAGCTCAAAGCCGCGGTCTCGGAGCTGGAGAAGCCTGGAGCTCGTCGACCCGCCAAGCTCCCACCTCTTCTCGCACACCCGCCGACCGGAGCAGGCTAGAAGCAACTAGGATGCTGTTTACGGCTCTCTACGACTCCGACAATACAATACTTTGATCACAGGACATGCACACGTTAAATGACCGCTCTCCTTTTTGAACCACGAGGTCAAGGCCTCTCGCGGGACCTGGTTTCAAAAGCCCGGAGGGTTCGATATGTGGTCCGGAGAGAGACGCCCAACGAGTTTCTGGAGGGCGCGGGTTGATGTGCCTGAGCCAGAGGTTTTCCCCGAAGGAGTGGTGGCATAGCTTGAGGCCTTACGGGGGCTGTGGAGGGAGGGGAGGAGGAGGGGAGGGGGTTTTGATGACTGGGTCGCGAGAGGGAGGGGAGGGTTACGGAGGAGGAGCAGAGGAGGGGGAGGGTAGCAAGGTGCTGCGATTCGAATGCGACAGAGAGGGGGGATGGGAGGGCCCTGCGCGTGCTGTTGATGTTGAAGAGTGGGGGTGTGGATGAGCAATGGGTGATTTGGGCTTTGGATTTGCGAGGGAATGGGGAGACTTGGGTGGAGGTAGTCGGAGGATCGCGCGCGAGGGTGAGGCGGAGAAGAGCAGACTGCGGTGCCCGGGCGTGGCATCAAGTTCTGACGACGGTCGAAAATGGGCGAGGGATGGGAGAATTCGAGGGAGAAGCGTGTAGTCAGTGAATTTTAGCTCTTCGTATCGTGTATATACGCGTGATATGTGCAATTTGATGCTTTTGTTTATACTATAACTTGTGCTCGAAAGAAATGTGACTTGATCCATCTCTTGCTTGGAAATTTGGATTAGGATTTTTTACACTTTGTGAAGCTTTCTTAGAGAGTGTGTTTCTTGAAGTATTTGGATGTGTAAACATCCTCCTCACAAACAATATAGAAGCTTATAAGCCACTTTGAGATGTTTTGGTGAAGGACTTATATAGGCTTATAAGCCACCAAAAAAATATTAGGCACCCTAGCTTATTTTTTTGTTGGTTTATAAGCCATGAAGGGCATGCTTGAGAACTTGGCTTCTAATCCACGTGGCTTATAATTCACAAAATGAATTATAAGCCAAAGTGTTTGGTCAAAAAATAAATTATAAGCTGCATAGTGTTTGGTAAATTGATGGATTATAATCCATCATTGTTAATAAATGACAAAAAAGTATATGGCTCCAAATTTGAACATTTGAGCACACATTGGAATTATCAAAAATATTGAGGGGGTAAATTCCATAAATTACTTGGTAAAACTTAGTAACTTTTAAATCATGAAAGAAAGCTAGGTTTGGGGAGCTCTTTTTTGGGCTTATAAACCATTATAAGCTGGTTGCCAAACACATTTCATTAGCTTATAAGGTTGACTTGTTGCCAAACGTGCTCGAAGTTTGACCAAGTATAATACCGTTCTATCCTTTATGATTTCACAAAATCCAAGGCCTTATTTAATAATTAATTTATTTGCTTTTAGCCTTTTGCTGGTATTTAATAATTTCTGTTGTTTCTTTCATTTTCTTAAATGAAACAGTATTCATTAGTAGAATAATTAAGCTAAGTACCTACTTAAGTTAATATATTGACAATAATCACATACACCATAGATAACAATAACAAGAATTTCTTAGTCCCAAATCCTCATCAATATAATAATTTTCAAGTGAAAACCAATTCGTTGTGATTATTATTATTATTATTTTGAGATGATGTGTGCGCGTGTGTGTGTGGGGTAGGGGGAAGGGGGGGGGGGGGGGGGGGGGGGTACTGTAACAGATAAAAAAAGAGGCAGATCTCCATAGCTTCTGATAGCACAACTATAAAACAGCAGAAAATTATCAGGACGCTTAACGAGTCTTACATAACTCAACTGGACACGTACACAATGGCTGTGACTACGCTCAAGTATTAGATAATATGAAAATGATCAGCTCGCATAAATAGAAAATCACTTTGTCTCAGGCTAATTATTATGCCCCTGGTTAGGCAATTATGCTTAATTTTGCGCACAAACTTGATTAGGCCACAATCTATTCATACAAACTACATCTGCAACCCAAGCAGGTGAGATCCAAGAAACATGCTCTTTTTAGGGAACAACCGAGAGAACAATACTCGCAAAAAGAGTATGTACTCTTTCAGCTACACCTGCCAACAAAAACAAGCATATTATCATTCAAGCGTCACTTTTATAATGTTTAAAAGTCTAAAATTAACAATACAGATCAGCAGAAGAACTCGGGCAGCACGCTTGATGATATGAGATGACAGAAGATTGAAGAGGAACGAAATATGCATACTTGCATAGTCAGGGAAAAAGGATGCAGTGGTGTGTTACCCTGAGGTTCAGCTGCTTCAACTACAACAGGAAGTGTGCAAAGAACATAGTTAAAAGGGTAAACTCCATGATTTTCTATAACTAAGAACTTAAAATAAATATTAACTCTCGTATAATAATGTTAATAATTAAGAAAATGATTTAGAATACTAAAGATATTAGCTAAATTTTATAGAATATTAGATCAAAACAACAACAAACCTTAACTTGATTAAAATTGGCTCTAACCAAGGTACAAAAAACTTTTAGGAGAAAAACTTAAACATTGTCATTAAGAGAGACTTAGAATATGCCATTTTTTCTCGTACTCTAAACACAGAATCACTCTCCAATTTTAGTTTTTTTATTTTAATTTTTAATTTTATTTTTTAATTTTACATATTTTCAAAATTTTTGGGTAATATCTTGGTTTTTAAGTTATAGTTTTAAGTATTCAAGATTTTTCATAGTTCACAACATCCAATAGTTGTATTGTTAATGATCATATAAACCAACATTTTCTATGCCTTAAAGTATGGGTGAGCAGAAATCAAGTGAACGAGGACATGGGTCTTTCGAATTTGGACCAAAATACCAGTTCCTAGTTTAGGTCAGATTTGGTTCAAGTAGAAAATCATGATCTTGTCAGGTTTTGACTCGGTTATCGGGTTCGCCATAGTGAACTTACACCAACAAAATAACCAAATTGTTAAAGTCTTAACATGATAAAAATAAGACCCAATTATCATATTTCACTTAAACTCCTCTTACCTCTGGCTCTCGGCTAGGTCTATAGAAATGAACCAATCAATTTAAATATTGGGATGCATATTTTCACAGTGTATCAATTCTAATTTTCTCCTCTGGATATAATCAGTGTAAATTTTGTTTGAACGCTGAAGATAAAAGATATGTATTTGGTTTGATATTTATGTAGTTTATGATTGCAAAGTTATTTGTTTTAAGTACAGAATTTCATTCGATTAAAGAATTTAATTCTTTTAAAAACATTAAAATTCATATATCAAAACAATTCATTTATAATGTGCATAAATCCATAAACTGATTTTTTTTTAAATTCAATTTGGAACCCTGATCTATTGAGATAAATACGGAAACAGAGTATGTAAGGGAACCAAAACATAAAATCTATTGTGGGTTATACATTACCATAAAACATAAGCGATTAGTTGTATAAACAAATATTTAATATGCAAATAGATTGAACATGTGAATGCTATCTTAGATAGTTTAATGTAAGCACAACAACAACAACAACAGTAACAAAACCGTTATCCCAAATATTTGCGGTATAATCATATCCTTCTTAATTGTTTCTAACCAAGTTCTTTTAATTCTACTTCTAGATCTCTTTGAACCATTAACTATAACGCCTCGTTTGGTATGCGGGAATGAGTGAGAATGAAATGCAATTCCAACTCATTATTCATGCCTACCAAACACGATGTATCTTTAGATGCTAGAATTGCTATCCCCACTTCTTATCAATTCCCACTTTATGTAGGAATTGTCATTCGCAACAATTTAACAAGGAATTGATATTCCACTTAAGTGGGAATAAAAATAATCAAATAATTTCCGATTATACCCTCCTTAAAAGATACAAATAGATATAAATTCCCATATGAAAAATTATTTTTATAAAAAAATATTATTAGCTGCTCGTACAAATATATAAATAGATATAAAATATTAAAATACTTGTTTGACCTTGCCCTAGTTCCACATCACATCTGCAGAAGAAAAAATCTCGTCTTCGCCTCGATGCCACTTGGTAAGGTAACCATTATTTCTTTTTTAAATTTATATGCGTGGCTAATTTTTACCTAATAGAATTTTTTATCTTTTGGCAACTCGGTTAGGTAATCTATTGGCGATTAGGTTAGCTAATATTTAATCTTTGATATTTGGTGTTAGATTACTTGGAAACAATTCTTCAATTTTGTCAATAGAGCATCTCTAGCTAATTATTGAATGATTAGCAAAATTTTTAATAAATCTCCTCTTAAGACAACTTCATAAGTTCAAAACGTGCCAAACATGTTCACGAGACAAACAATTTTTCAATTCTCTCTATAAACCATCCCTGACTAATTACTACATGATTAGCAAAAAATTGAACAAATATCCTCTTAAGAATTGGTTACTGCAAGCTTATTTCAATAACTAATAAAAGACAATGTTTAGCAATTACTAGGAGAGTGAAAAAAATATCATTTCTATAAAACTTATTTTTCTCAAAAAATGAATGATTTAGTCATTTTTAAAATATTTTAATGTTGTTAAAATTGTGTTTTGGTAAGGGCATTATTAGAAAACTAAATTTTATTCTCACTTGTGAATAAATGATACCAAACGTGGAAATGAGAATAACATTGATATTGTCGTTTCATTCTCTAAACGCGCCCAAACATGAGAATGAGAATTAGCATCCCATTCCCATTTTTTTTTCTCACTTGACTCTATTTCCGCGTACCAAACGAGGTGTAATATTATCATTTTTCCTAGCCGGTACATTAAGAGGTCTTTGTTGTACATGACCAAACCACCTTAATCGATTCTCTCTCGTTTTATCCTCAACGTGAGCAATCTCTAATATAAGCACATCATACATGTATATCTTCGTCTTAAATGATCTTTTCAATTGAACCAAATAGTCAGACAAATACTCAGCACTGTCCCTCAACATTCTATTTTTTTTATTAAAACTCCACGTAGGAATTAACAGTAAAATCCGCACTAAGTGCGCATACACACTGATTCCATACACCATCCAAGAGAAAAACTCAATCAAACAACACCAAATTGAATAAATAAGCATATATCAGCATAAAAATTCTGTTTGTGTGAGAATCCATCACAAACCTAATCCCTCAGCCAAAACAGTAGTCTAAATTTGATCAAAACGGGGTGAGAAATTCAACCCATTCCGTCCAATTTCAGTGTCTCAGCAAGGAACCAATCAAAACCCTAGTTCTTCACGAAGTCCCAAACCACAAATCAACCCCCCCCCCTCCCCCCCCCCCGCAACACTAAAACCCTAATCTCCCAAGAGAATTAGCAGATTTAGGAGGGTCAAGCTCGAAGCTTTACGAGGGATTTCGATCCTCAGTGGTTGGAACGGGATCTGAGGGTTCATGCGGTTGTAGGCGGCCTCGCGACGAGGTAGAGCCGAAGGCGACGAGGGCGATGCCGAGCCCGGCGTCGCATGGGCGAGGTTGCTGGTGAGCGGATGGGTGCTTCCTCCACTCGTCTCTCCTCCTGAAGAACTCTCCCGTTGGCGCAGTGGCTTCCCCATTTTGATTCTCTTTCTTCGTCTCCGTCAAAGTTGGGATCTTTATGTTTCTGGACTTCGGTGGAGATGGAACAAGGAAAAGGGTTAAATTTAGAAAAAAATCCCTCAACTTTGTGGGTGGCTCAGAAAGCCCCATTCAGCTATTTTAACTCTAGTAAAACCCCCTCAGATAACCTCCGTTGACTTCGAAGTTTTAATTTAGCTCTCTCAACTTTTCTCATTTAACCCCCCACGTCGTGAAAAACAACCCAATGCGTGACTTGGAAAAACCAAAATATTAATTAAAAAAAAGCTCTTTTACCGGTTGAGAATTTCTTTGTCACTCAAATGTACATGTCTTTTTTACTTTTCTTCTAAAAAGAGTATTTCGATCATTTCACGTTTTTAATTAATGAGGTAGGGGATTTGTTGAGAAATGAATAAAAGGATCATGGGGATTTTGTAAGATACCACAAAGTTGAGGTGATTTAAATCACATTTTCTAAGTTGAGAGGCAAGAACTACAACAGCTCCACATAACTATGTGGAGATTCAAAAATCACCTTTTCAAAGTTGAGAGGAATTAACTACAACAGCTCCAAACTTAAGGGGAGTTTCTTCTAACTAAAATAGTTGACAGGTGTTTTTCTAAGACACCCCCATAGTTAAGGGGGTTTTCTAAATTAAACCCATAAATAAAAGGTAAATTTGGGACTGAGTTCGCAAAAAAACTCTTCTAACCTCTGAAAATTAGAAAAGACCTCCGAAAATGTTGGGATCTTTAGGTCCATCTTCCATGGATATTATTACCTAGATGTTCAATACCATAAAAACCCAAAGTAATGAGCACACAATCTGCAGGCTTATTTTTCACTTGAGGGTATTATCTGATTACCTGTTAAATTAAAACGAACCCAATCCATTCTTCACAGTCTGCATATTCAATCTAATGAGAACTCGTATTCAACGACAACCCATAATCTGCCGCGGATGATCCGAACAGTTAACATTTCGCCCGCATTATCTATGAATACAGTTCAAGCATAAAAGTTCTTGCTCAACATAATTACATAAAAGATCTTGAACCATTCAAATCACTAGCCACCTGATAGCATGCTAAATTCAAAGAGTTTGGAGGATCAGAGAATTTCCCACCAGATATCTGATCAAAAACCCATTTGTTAGCAGCTTCGGTGTAATGAATTCCATCCCAACTAATCCTCTCCGATGGATACTTGCACGATTTTCCAAGCAAAACTCGCTGTGACCGTTGACATAGGCACGTGCTTCCACATATCACATTGAAATGCACTGTTGTAATCTCCACCACCGTAATCCGCAACAAGCTGCGAGAGGCGCTGCTCAAAACCTGAATGCATTTTGGCGGGGGGGGGGGGGGGAGGTCCAAGTAATTCAACAGTACTTCAGAACGAAAAGAAAAATTTTAACCTAACTATTTCCCTAGGTCAAAGTGAAAATTGAGAGATTTTGATACATGGTAAAGGAGTTTTTTGTGAGAAAAGAGACATCTTACTATGTTACATGGAAAGGAGTATTGGTACATGTACTAGTACGGATACAGGTAGAAGACATGGCAAGTTTGTTGAAGAGAGAACACATGGACACGGCTATATATCTATTGAAATTAATAAGTTGTTTTTTCATCCCATGTCATGAGAAATAATATTCCTATAACATTCTTATGTTTCTTTCATTATGCATTATAAATTATAAAAACAACGTTTTTGAACTAGTTATCCAAACACCCTTGAAAATCATAGTTTTGAAATGGGCATGGACCGAAACAAACCCAACCGCTGTCCACCGAGGTTTAGGAGGTGGATTGTGAAGGGTAGGATATATGTCAAGGACGTGCATGCCGAGTGTTCTGAATTATCATGTATCATATAACTGTATACATGCCCCAAAAGTGTATGTATATATTCAAGGAGTGTCCAAGCAAGTGTTGGTATGCGCATGGGCCATGTCGGTACGGGCACGACTTCAGATAGAAGTACCCACGTAACATATAGTATTAGAAATAGAGAAAATTTATGAACACTCAATTTGTTACATGATATTTGTAGGGTTTGGATGAGTGAGGACCGTTAGGTTACGCTCACTAATGTCTTTGATTAGTGAATTTTCCTTATGTTTGGCTGAACCTGTGCTTTTATCGTTGAGCGTTTCTCATTCCATGTCCACTAGTTAAATTCAGTTGTGACATTATTCTAATTTGACGTTAAACATCTCCTGGAGTAAAACCTCAGGTTACAAAGCTGGAGGACAAAGCTGATGCAACTTACCATACTTTTGAGCCTGGCTTATAAGCAAGTACTTGACAGAGTAGATATCAACAAAAGTGATGGCAGCAAGAGGGAGCTCTCTCCTGAGCTCAACCACCGTCTCATTGAGCATTGTGTTGAATCTTTGTGCCAGTTTGTTGCATCGAATTCCACACCCTGCTGAGTCTAACTCCTCGTCATTGAGCTTCAACTGATGTAGAAATAATGGAAGACAGCCGAGGGGACCTGTGTTATGGATCCAGAAATTTCTTCCACCCTTTTCATATATATTCTGTGCACCAATATCACTCTATTACTATAAAAGAAAGAATCAAAAAATTGAACTGTAAGCAATTATACATTTAAGAACTTCAAGGGTTCAAGCCAGCAAATTTGTTTGATTTATAGATTTTTCAAAAGGGATAATTGCAAACAGACCTCATCTACTATGGTGCGATAGACCCCCCCCCCCACACACACACACAGTTCTGTAGCTCTATTGATGATGATAGACCTCTCTTAGTAATTTTTTGACAGTTTAGCCTAAGTTGGAAAAAATAAATTTTCTGTCTCTATGGGAAAAGAGCAACAAAAAAAACCACTTTTTTGTTTTGGTTTTATTTGGGCGGGGCCGCTCTGGGGGCGGGGGGGTGGGGGGTGGGGGTGGGGGGGTGGGGGTGGTCTTCAACATAGAACTAGCAGAACCTACAGGGCGTCTTATCTGCAAGTAAACCTTTTTAAAATTTGGATCGAAGGAAAACTTTGATTATGATGAACGATTCTAATAAGGAGAGAGCTATGATGTGGGTTGTGTCGCTAGCGATCAAATAGATATATCAATCTGGTATCTGATTTCCTTCCACTTAGATTCATTAGCATAAAAGCAAGAAACAACTGAACTGGGAGAAACTCTAAGAACTTTGGCAGCTTCAGCTGAATGTTAATATATATTCATAGAGTTTTTAAAATTGTGATTAGAGTAAAAATACGTACATCCATCCGGTTCTAATTTTATTCATTTTCTGGTTGGGGATATTGATTTTGGATATATGTTTAAAATGGATATGCATATGATATTGGTCAAAAGAATACACTCCACTCACCTATGCTGAGTTTGTCCAGCATGTATATATTTGTTCACAAAATGTTGCATCATGAGATGTCTTGATTAGAAAAGTTAATATCACACTACTTTAGATATTTTAACATATTCACACAAAAACAAATTAACAGTAAGGCATTCTTCTTTCTCCATATTTTGAATCTTATTCGACGTATCAGGTAATTTTTGCTAAATATTTGAATCTGATTAAAATCTTAACTTGTTTCTGATTACTATCTACATCGAACTGAATCGTATATCCATATCCTCATCCAAAGAAGAAAAAAGAAAATCTGGAAACAATGGTACCTCTGAAGTCTGTTTGCTTTCCTAATTGTGATTGACCTTGATAACACCCATAAAGGTGGAATTCCGCAGCACTCTATGGTGTATAGAGCTTTTATATATTGATTATCCGCCATATATTAATTATGGATCAATAAATTCTTTTATATAGAAACAAGTATCACACACTGTTCAGTGTCACCTTGACTGCTCTTGAAAACACCATCTTTGCATTTGGTATGAGGTCCTCTCCACACTTGTTCTGCAAACAGCAAGCATTCAGATCATTCTGTCCGATGTCTATCGTATATAGAGCTTGAGAAAAGTATTCTTCCTTGGGCATCAATTCTTTGAAAACGCCCACCTACATATTATGCCCCCCAAAGAAAAAAAAATGCTAATTACATGCTAAAGACAGTAGTAGCACACTAGGTGCAACCACAAGGAGTTTGGATCACGACTTTGACAGTAAAGAGATAATTTCATTAATAATAAATCATCAAATATTATCTAAATGGTTATAATTCATTTTTAATATAACTATTATTGTTGCAAAAGCTACAATTCTTCATACTTTTCATTCAAAACAAATGATAATCATCAATTAAAGAGTATATGATCCTGGTTGAGAAAATGTTCCACTTACCTCGACTGTAGACTAACTGCGACCTCGACTTGAACTGCAGGAACTCTTTGAGTTGCACACCGGAGGACAAGGGGCATCCACCCTGCGACAATGGCACATTCTCGTCGATAATGGTTGATGATGCAGTCGCAAAGTTAGCTCCATGGCTAAAATTGGTGCCTAATGAGTCAAGATATGAGCTGAGATAAGGCAATCCCAAGCTCTTCACTGGCATATAAAAAACACTTTTAGGATATAATTAGGTAGATAGAAATATTGTAACAAACTAGTACATGTTCAAACACTAATATATAGATACCGATGAAATCGATAATGAGCCGACCATCTGAATATCTTCCTGCAGGCATGCCAAAGAATGTCTCGCCATAAGGCGGAGGAACGGGATCAAATGCAGCTGAGTACTCGCCAGTGTCTGAGTTTGAATCCCCGAAATTGAAAACAGATGAGAAATAGCAAGGTGACGATGATACCAAGATTACGAGAGGAGGAAGAAGAAGAAGAAGATGGAGAAGCTTCATCTTGATAGCAAAATTGAGAGGGAGCAAATAAGAGAGAGGTATATCCATGAGTTAGCTAATAGATAGGCATAAGTTCAAAACTTGGTTCATGAACATATTTGGCAATATCATGGAATGGTTACCTAGTCATACATTTTTCTGAGTTACTCGCACATTAACGTATCAGGGTAACTGGACCTTACCACCAAAATGGACAGAATTTTGATCCAACATTAGTACCTTAGGTCTTCAACCATTTTTTTTTTAATATCATCATGTTCAAATTTACCAAAACTGTTCAAACTTCCGTTTAAAAAACATCAAGCGACTGTCACCTGAGGTTCCTTAATATTGATCTCCTATTTTCATTAGAACATAATCAAGAGCAATAATTTACCTTAAAACTAGCATAAAGTAAACAATAGAACTAAAAAGAAAAACTCGTATTTATTAATTGATGAACAAGCCCCCCAGATTTATATGGTTGAATCATAGTGACTCCCTCATCCCTTTAATAATGTATCTTATTACTTTTTTTTGATGAAAATAACCTTATCTTTCACAATTTTTTTTACCATTTACAGTTATGTTTAAAATGTCATTCAATTTCAACATAAATTTAGAATTTTAATCCTATCTCAATATTCTTCTTTTTTCTCCTCCTCTTGATTATGTCTTATCTTCCTACCTTGAAATTCAATTTTCAAGATCTTTAATAAGGAGCAACAAAAAAGAATACACTTCAAAATTATTTAATCAACTATTTTAAAAATTCAAGCCTCCGATTTCAATCACACAGTTATTAGAATTCACACTACAAAATTCTACACGTTGTACAGAGATAATTATATAACTTATATAAAAGAAAATTTTGGACTAATAGTTCAGAAAAGTTGGTATCAGGTATATGGATTATTTTACAGAATTTTGTCAACAATGTTAGTAAAAGGAGGCTTTTGATAAGTAATAAAAATTTGAAAGATTTTTCAATTCTAGTAATTCGTGTGGGGGGATTTTTCAAACTTTATCACAAATTACATACAAAATCTGAATGACGAAATAAGACTAAGTCCTAACAAAAAAAACTAAAATACATCATTAAGTAAGAGGCTATTTGCACTTTGATACCCTAAAAGTTTCACCCTCATCAACTTCCACATTTGAAAATTTCTATTCTATTTTGACAATGTGATACCCAAAAAGTTTTCAAATTGACCTTAATATGACAATTTGATACCTAAACCCATAACTTTGTTCCTCATTTCGCCTAAAAAAACTCATAAAAAAAGAAGGGAAATTTGGTAGGAAAATATATTTGCTTCTTATTCACTTTTCTATTTCGATACTCTTGAACAAAATTAACATAAAATTTTTCACACTTTACGGTATCAAATAGTTAAAATAATAGGAAAAAAGGGCATAAAAATGATTCAATTAATCAACTAACAGTTATAGGGGGTTTAGGGTTTACAATTGCGGATCCTCAGCGATAGCTGCTACTGTTGATCCCTTCATCAAAGGCGATTGCTTTACGATCGAAAATCCCCAAAATCTCGATCTTCAATCTTCCTCCCAATTGGAAATCATGAGGGATTTTTTAGGGTCGAAGCTTTTCGTATTGGACTTATTAGCTTACAAGTGAGCTTTGTAAGTATATAAACAAATAAGTAAGGGAAAAATGCTTCCAGACCCCAAAACGAAAGAAAACGTGTTTCCCTATCTGAAGACTTTTTCAACGGGTGTTTTGCCTCAAAAGTAAATTTTGTATTCTCTGAGCCCAAAACACAAAACCAAAGAGATTTAAATTCGTGAAGACCATAATATCCTTATCTCTCTCTTTTATATCTGTTATGTTTTGAAAGAGTTTCCTCCGTCAATCCCAACGGAGAAGCTCGACCTTCGTCAATCCCCGCTTCCGCCGCCGTCGCTGCCGTCGAAGCTCCGTCAATCCCCTCACCGTCGATTTCGTCAGAGGAGCTTGTGTTCTACGAGGCGATCTTGAGTTTGGAGTACTTTAGAGGGGAGAGATTAGGGTTAGGGCAAGGGCAACAGGAATTGGGGATGAGGTTTTTGGCGAGGTTTCTCACTGTTTGTTTGGTGACTGGGAGGAGGGATATGGTGAATCGGTTTGATGGACAGCTTAAGGGGCTAGTTGATGAGTGCAAGAAGAATTTTCAGGTAAAAGATTGTGTGAATTGAAGCATTTGAAGGGATTGAGGAGGTGGAAGAAGGAAGTGGGTCATGTTAGTGATTTTAATCTTGTTTTTTGTTTTTTGAAGGGTTAATTGTTGGGTAATTTTCCTTTTTCTTACTGATTTTTTGTAAGATTCAGAAACATATATAGCAATGTATAATATAGTAGGCAACTTTTGTGTGAGTAAAATTGATCTGTGGTGGTCTTTGCTCAACATCTCTCCCCCCTCATGGCTTCAACTTGAGGTCTTGGTTTACGCATTGGTTGTGAAGATTACGGGTTGCTAGTTAAGGTTATGGGTTGAAGCCATGAGGGGGAGAGGGTAGGTTGTTAAGATTAGGCTTGGTTGTTAAGGTTAGAGTCAGTTGTTAAGGTTATGGGTTGTGAAGGTTAAGCGTTGGTTGTTAAGGTTACGGGTGTTAAGGTTGCGGGTCGATTGTTAATGTTATAGGTCAGTTGTTAAGGTTACGGGTTGTAGGCGTCAAAATTTGCCTATGAGTTCCCGTACGCCCTCGAGGCGAAATACAGACGATAAGCGTCATCATCCAAGTCATGAAAGGATTATCTGGCCCCATGAAAGATAACGAATATATAAAGTGAGTCATTGGAGTGTACAAGTCAACGGAATGACGAAATGCGCAATACAAGTTCGGAGAAGTCACAAAGTGTCGAACACCTCAAAGTGGCCCGTAAAAGTAAGAGGCATTTAGACCATGATATGATTTGAATCTAAAAAAGTTCAAAACATTAAAGTTGTAGGTCTCTTCGTCAGCTTTCTAACACATCTTAGATCACCTCATTCTGAGATCGGACGATAGAGTTATAATCAAAATACCCAAGACCATTCAGGCCGTTTTACGCCAGCGAGACACAATCTGTGTCTCGGAGAAAATAGAGATTTTGGCGATGATGTGGTTCTAATATGAAGAATCTTAAAACATTAAAGTTGTAGGTCTCTTTGTTATCTTTCCAAAACATCTTGAATCACCTCAATCGGAGGTCATATGAAAGAGTTAAGACTAAAATACCCGAGATAGTCCAAGCTGTCTCGGACATGTGCGAGACAGTCGAAGTGACTCGAGCCCATGTCAGCTCCCGACGTGTTTTCTGATAAGATTGGCTTCTAGAACTCCTTGGGGTCATCCATAAACATGTGGGGTTATCTTTAAACATGTGGAAGTTGTTACACAACCGAAAACCCACCTAAACGGATAATAACGGTTGTTCTTTGATCCTATCCACAAACACGTCATTCCTATCCACAAACACGACATCTAAAGCCTATAAATACACCCCTAGCACCCTCATAAAATCAGATCTGAAGGGAGCCACGAATTTCACAGGAGCTAGGGTGAGAGTGGGTCTGAAATTCGTGCTCCTTCTTGTTTGAACGATCAAGCCTGTAAAAGGTAAGATCATCTCTAACCTCCCACTGTGGTCGCCAGTTTGTTGGATGTTCAAATCATGAGACCAACTAATAAAGTTGATACATCAATGACTCGCATTTATAGAATTTTTGGCAAATTCTCAGCCATCAACGGGTTTGATAAGCCTTTACAGTTTATTGTAATGACTAAAGTTGTAATAGATTCGATAGCAATGAAAACAGCAATTTTCGACGCAAACACGGGTTAGTTGTTAAGCTTACTTGGTAGTTATGAAGGTTACAAGTTGGGATATATATGTATATATGTTTTGAGTGACATAAATACTTTGGGCCAATTGGCCTATAGTAAAGTTTGGGAGGTTGGACAAGAGGTTAGGGTTTCAAACCCCTACAACCACGATATATATTTAAGGGTCTTTGATGGTTGGGCTCTTTAAATTCTAATTATATTTTTAGAATATTCGTTGTTATGGTTATGCTTTGGCTGTGAAGGTTACGGGTTAATTGGTAATGTTACATGTTGGTTGTTAAGGTTACGCGTTTGTTGTTAAGGTTAAGCATTGGTTGTGAAGGTTACGTATTTGTTGTGAAGGTTACGGGTTGGTTGTTAATGTTACGGTTTAGTTGTTAAACTTACAGGTTTGTTGTGAAGGTTACACTTTGGTTGTGAAGGTTACACTTTGGTTGTGAAGTCTATGAATTCTAAAAATATTTTTATAATATTCGTTTTTTTTATTTTTTTAGCTCTTCAATTGCCTAATATTGTTGTTTACGAGAATTCACCTATTACGCGTTAGTTGTTAAGGTTACGAGCCCGTAACTTAACAGTCAACCCGTAACCTTAACAACCAACGCGTAACATTCACAACCAAACTGTAACCTTAACAACCAAACCGTAACATTAACAACCAAACTGTAACCTTAACAACCAACGCGTAACATTAACAATCGTAACCTTAACATATCGAGCGCCTTCATCCCGGACACAGTGTCGATCATCCCAGCGCTCCTCAGCCTCTTAACCCCGGTGCCTCCAAAAGGCCCATCATGCCCACAAGAGCTCACCATGACCTTGGCCTCCATAACGTTCGGATCCATGCACGACTGGGTGTCGTGGTTCATCGACACCAACGCCTAGTTTATCACGACCCCCGACCCTCCCATTCTTAATTATCAAATCCTCTGTCGCCACCATGTTGAACAGCTTCACGTTGGGCTGCATCAGCAGCTTGCTCATGATGGTAGAGGTGAAGAGGGCGGCGTGCTTGATGACGACGTAATCCTCCTGCTCGTTGTAGGGTACCTCGAGCTCGTCGAGGAAGAGGTGTGCGGGCTAGCGGACGACCATGACGGAGAAGAGCTGGCCACCGAGCCAGGCGCCACTGGATTCTTTGATGGGGCGGAAGCGGAGGGAGGAGAGGTCGTAAGAGGCGGAGATTTGGGGGGTGGAGGATGACGATGATGGGGAAGAGAAAGATTGAGTTTTGAAGGCGGAGGAGAGCTTGAGGCCATGGAAGGAGGAGGAGGAGAGGAGGTTGCGGTCGCTAGGTTTGGAGAGAAAGGAAGAGATAGCCATGGAGGGTATTATGGTCTTCACGAATTTAAATCTTTTGGGTTTTGTGTTTTAGGGGCTCAGAGAACACAAAGTTTACTTTTGGAGGCAAAGCACCCATTGAAAAAGTTTTGGGAGGGGGAAGCACATTTTTTTTCGTTTTGGGGGTTGGAAGCATTTTTTCCAATAAATAATTAGGATTTTCTCGTTGTTAGCCCCTTACTCATATTTTGTTTTGGCCCCTCAAATCGTTGAAATTGTTCCTGAAATCATGAAAACTTCTATTAGGTCCTCCACTTTAATTTTTTTTTTGCATTTAGTCCTCTCAAATTGAAAATAAAAGTAGCAATTAGAGGAATTAACTTGAAACAACAAAGACTTTGCAGGCCTAATACCTATATCAATGATTTGAGGGACTAACGTATAACTTGATTTGAGGGCCTAATACCTATAGCAATTAGAGGAATTAACGTATAATTGGAGGGTCCGATAGCTATTTCAATGATTTGAAAGGAATAGCATGCCTTGCTTTCTGTTTCATGTGTTCACAATTTTTGGTGAAACTACAATCATAAAACTATAGGTGTTGGTAAAGGTAGAGCCGCGAGGACCTGTAAATAATAATAATAATATATATGAAAAAAATTATTAGCGTATTGTTTATGAATTAGGTCTACTTTTAACTTATATCATATGATTATATGATCAAGATCATGACGTAATTGTTATTGTCTTTCGTGTTGTGTTAAAACGTTACACAATAATATTTTATTTTTAGTTATCGATGCGCTCCATCACGTGTGGTCCAAGAACTTCGACATCTCTGAATTCAATTCAAACAAATATCTTTGATCCATTGTTCTTATCAATAAATAAATAAATATATTAGAATATAAAATTATGACACTCAATTGTCATCATAACTTTTAGAGTTCTGGTTAATAGTAAAGTGTTTTGACATTGTTATGGTGTTTTCAGTCGTCAAAGTATTGCCCTTGGCCAGCAACGGACATGTGTCCCCACTACATGCACCGTTCAAATCAAATTGACGGTCAGGACCACCAAGGATCCCGACTTAGCTGACTCGCCGAGTCGACATCTCCTTAGGTTGACTCAAATGGTGGTGCTTATCAGTCCTCTTGTCGAAGATGACTTGCTACGAGCCCACTCGACCAGATATTCGACATATTGTGAGGTCTACTCGAAAGATGTTACTTCTTGGCCAAACCAAAGGACGACTTCAACCTCGAGCCTCCCCCGCTGGCAACACTTCGACGTCACATTTAATGCTTCGCAGGCGTCATCATGCCTCTAGCATCGATAGTCTTTATG